CCCCCAGCTTCCTAATGAGAATGGGGTGAGAGACAGTATCAAAAGCCTTCCTGAAGTCTAGGAAAACTATATCCACTGCCACCCCTGCATCCAATGATTTAGTGACCTGGTCGTAAAAGGCCACCAGGTTGGTCTGATAGGACCTGCCACTGATGAACCTGTGCTGGCTGCCCCCGAGCATGCAGTTCCCTGCTAGCCCCTCCTGGATGCGCGCCAGAATAAATTTTCTCGAACAGCTTGCCCAGGATCGACGTGCTTTAGTTCAAAGCTCACTGCCTGCTTCCAATGCAGTGCTGGGCACACATGTAAAAATGCCCACAGACATCCACTGTAATTGCCTATGAAGTACCTTGGGTAAACTGCAACCCCCAGACTCCCTCCCAGGTGCCACTCTTCTCACTGCTCCAGCTTCTGCCAGAGGTGGGCTTCCCTTCCCTTCCTGCTCCTGCCTCCAGAGGTAGGAGAGCACATCTGGGGAGCCAGGGGCTCTGGCATCCAGGTGACCTTGTGAGGGAGAGCTCCAAGTGCATTGAGCATGGGGAGGAGGTGCAGATAAGACCCACACGCAGCAGGGGAGATGCATGGGGTGACTGCAGAAACCCATGCACTGTGCAGTGCAGGGGGCCTGTGGCCCCTACAGATATAGTCCCTGGCTGCTGAGAAGCTGGACAGCTTTCTACTAACATTTTGCCCTAGGACAGTTCTGTATGTTTGTACAGTTACTGCAGTTCACGCCACGGGCAAGCCGGTCAGGCCACATCCACTTGCTGGCTGAGCAGCAGCAATGCAGCTGGGAAGGATGACACCCGATACAACTGATCCGTATCAAGCCTCAGGACAACTAGCCCCAACGAAGCAGGAAGGGTAACTGAAGGGATAGGATTAAAGGCAACAGAATACCTGACATCCAGCTGGCAGATGGAAGAGGATGAATCTTCAGAGAAAATATCTGCTAGAGCAACCAGCCGGTGATTCCCTAACAATACAGAAACAGTGACGTGAGCAGTGAACACTTGTGGCAGGCATCCAGGGAGGGAGGAAGGTGTGCCTGCTGCAGCACGGAGGCAGCTTAAGCACTGTCACTGCTGGCAAACTGCTGTGGAAACTAGGCTAAGAGCACATGGAAAAAGGAAAGTTGCGAATCCCTGAGTTTTGGGCTCATTCAGACTGGAGGCCAACAGGTTCTGTGGCCATCTGGACCGGCAAAAATAAGTTTGCTTGCCAAAAACATCATTTGGCAGAACTGTTTGTCAATTTGACATCATTTTTCATCCAAGAAAAGTCAAACACAAAACTGGAAAGAGTCACATTTTTTTGTTTGCTGCCTTTACTGAGCAAAAGGTTTTGTTTTCAATACTGCCAACGGTCAAGGTGAATCCAGGAAAGAAAATATTTCAGTTGACCCAAAGCCACACCTTTTACTTTGGACTGACAGGGAAATTCCTGTCCATGTCTCTCCCCTTGAATTTGGCCAGGAAACTGAAGACCTTGTTTAAGCTAGTCCAGGCCCATAAGATTTCCTGTGCCATCCAAGTCTTTATCTCCCCTGCACCTTTACCTGCTCCCAAAACAATGGTCAAAGCATTAGCAGAGCCAGAACAAACTCATTAGGAATTGTAACCCCGAAAGGTATTTTAGGAAGAGCCAAGTCCTGCTGGTTAAGTTGGTGCCAAGGCAAAGGGTCTCTATGGTTCACTTGCCTAAAAGCAAATGGTTTCAGCTTCATTTCTCCCTAGTGCCCACCAGACAATTGTCACGTTTGGCATCCTGCCTGTGTCAGTTGTCAATAGCAGCATTTTCAGAGACTACACGCAGGGGTGTTAGCGACAGAAGAGCTGCTGCACTAGGCTGAAATTACCCACCTACTTCCCTATCCCACAGAAAACAGAAGTCATCAGACAGTGGTTATTGTGTTTCTTCACCCCAGTATGTGTTGAGCAATGGCTCTGAGCCATCCTGGAAGGCAGCTAGCAGGGAGCTTGTCTAATGTAGCCACCTGTTTCATTGAGCTCTTGGTACGTACCAAGTCTGTTTCCGGGTAGTTTGAGGCTCTTCAGAGATGAATTTCTCTTCACTACATTGATTATTTCAGAGAGGAACTCGGCGGTGGAGCTTTCAAACAGCCGGCAAAAGGAGAATGTGATTTCTGCCAAAAAAACACAGACCATTCAATACCTTTGTACTATACATGTAGTTACGGGACATTATTTAATACTTCAGTTACTACTGCAGACATCCTTAAGTACCTTATTTAATGTAGAAGAACAAAAAATCCTGGCTGGGTGCCCAGGGACAAGTTTAAAGGGGATGCTGTAGGTAGGGCTACAGGACACAGATAAAGTCCTGGGAAAAGCAGATTTGAATTGGGTCATGTGATTGTTACACGGCTGATGTACCAAAAGCAAGACACCGTTGTCTCCGTTATATGAACTGGCTATGGACCCATCCCTTGCATTAGCTGATAACATCAAAGCTTGTGCTTTCTTATTCCTCTGAAAATTACAGTTTTGTTTTCCGACCTTAGACACAAAGAAAACTGGGGCTCTCTCTTGGAAAAATCTCAGGCAGCCACACCATCAACCTCTGCATTCAAAGTAGTCCTTCCAGACAAGAGTTTACCTTGGAGGATGGGGTCCTGAAGCAGGAGGAGGACTTCTTCCTGATGGTCAGCCAGGTTGACATCGTGGAAGCTCAGCTTCTTCAGGTCTGGGTTGCGCTCTGCCAGGAAGAGTAGATCAGTAAAGGATCCTATGCCTGTGTGTTAAAAAAACCTGGGGCTGCCTGCTGCCTCATGCTCACACAGCTGGATGTCATGAGGAGTAAGGGGGCACTTCTCAGCAACAAATTCTGCTGTCAGATTCATGCAGGGCAGCAACCATCACTTTTGGCTAAACCAAGACAGGGAAGAAAATTCCTGCTGGTTTTGTGATTCTGCATCACTGTGGGACCAGGCGTGTGCACAGCCCAGAGAAAAACCTGGAAATCAAGTTTTCAGCCTCCTAAACTAGGTGCCAAAGTGAGGCACTTGTGAAAGCTGAACCCAGAGCTTGCAGCTCCAGGCCACAGAAAAGCACACACTAGGACTGTAAGGGGAGGAAAAGAACTGATAGGCGGCGCACAGAAGAGGTTGCTTGTGGAGGACTATTATACTTTCAGCATGAGAAGCTCCTTTGATGGTTTTTAGCAGGGTACCTTTGAGTGCCTGCAGAAGCAGCCCGAACTCTTGGGGACATGGTAGCGCTGCGCTATCTAGGGACAGCTGCTGGAGAGATCTCGAGGCTTTCAAGACAGGCAGCAGGAGTGCAGTCTGCAGTGGTTCTCTGGGGAACCGGATCTCCAGCTGTTCCAGGCAGCTCTCTGCGGAGCAGGGAGAAAAAGGTTCTGCTTGTCAACACATTCCTGCAAAATACACCTGAATCTCAGAGAAACTGTCCTCTGCCAGCACGGGCCTGTCATTCAGATGTGCAGGCTACGCCTATCGCCAGGCATCTGGGCCTACAGGACCGTAATGAGTATAAGCATCCCAGGAGAAAAATCTCCTGAAGTCCCGTTCCAAAAGTGTTTGGAGGCCCACGTACCAGCCACTTCAACAGGACACAAAAGCCTGATGCTACGTCTATGCTGCGGCTGAAGGAACGACCCCCACCCAGCTTCTCCCCTGGTGTGCAGAAGCAATGTGGCAGAGGCACTCCAGGTTGTCACTCACCAGTATGGTACTGGGGGCCACTCCTCAGGGTGTCCTCCCTACCTTTTTCCCAGGGTTTATGGTCTGGGAGCAGGAGTGGAAGGCTGGGGCTTATTCCCTCAATGGAGCATCCAAACCTTCTACTGCCCTGCTGCAGACATGCTTCATAAGTGCCAAACTCCCATTTTGAACAATAACCTCTTAGTCTCCACTATCATGGCAGCAAGTGGAGTTTTCCCCTCTACTCTCCAGGGTTTGACAGCTCAGTCAATAACATGCACCAAAGCGAGTGCGAAGAGAAAGCCAGTGCCAGCCTTGGTGATCCTGCATAACATGCTGTTCATGCAACGCATGGGGAAGTGGGATGGCAGGCACTTTCTACACTCGCTGCAGGCTCTGTCTGGCCTTGCAAACGCTGCCATTGTGCTCTGTTGATATTTTGTGTGTCAAATACAGACACTTCTTGGGAATGATTTAGATCAGACATATTCACCTCCCTTCCTGTGGGCCAGGTCTGGCTCAGAGCCACGTCATCCAGCCCACCAGGCTCTCCAAGGGTCCAGACATTTGATGCGGGGGGAGGAGGAGAGTGGTGGCAGCATTAATCACTATTTCCCTGGTGCCAAGTATCCAGACTCATGGGGAGCCCTGCAGGCTGGTTAATGTGGCCCTGTGCATCTGATCGCAACTGTGCATCCAGAACTGGACACACACGGTTGAACCGGCAAGCCCGATGCCACCCATGGACTGACCTCGCACGCTACTCATCTAGCCCATGGGGCCAGAAGATAGGGTGCCACCGGTTTAGACAGGGCTGATCCTAAGATTTCCTAACAGCTTTTCTAGCACTGCTTTTCTATGATTCAAAAGGAGACTGAATATACACCTTGCTGGGGTTATTTGACCCAAGCAGTCTGTCAGGTCCAGCCCTGCTGCTCTGGGCAGGAAAATCTCATTAGGTCCCCTCCAGCCCCAAACTTCTGTGAATCTGCGATTCTATGACTGAATTTTGTGCCCTGTGACAGGGGCCTAAATTGGAAAGGAATGGTCACCACTAGCTAAATGCAAGCGGAGCCAGCAGCTGGACACCTCGCTGTATGCACAGGAAGTGGAATCTCCTGCTTTCTATACAGAGCAAAATCTCTGTTATTTGGAGCCAGTTCTCTACCTGGGATCTCCTCCAAGGAGTTCAGACTGCCTTCTGGTCTACTCCCCTCGAGGTGGTGTTTGAGATCGAAGCTGACGGAGAGTGTGCGGAGCCAGGGGAAGGCGCTCAGGATGCAGTGAACAAGCTCCACTGAAGGGACGTGCGAGAAGACATCGCTTACACGCACCACGCGAAGGCGGCGGTCATTGTGGTGAGACAGGGCCCGGAGCCCAGACAGGATGCAGAAGATATTAGCACCTAGGCCTGAAACCAACAATTCAAGAGAAAGCAAGAGGAGCATCAGATGCCTGTGTGTAGATTCAGTATGGCCAACACCGACGCATGGCAGAGGCTATGCATTGAACCTACATATCCTTCCTCCCAGGAATGTGCCCCATCCATGAGGCTGTTGGCTCTTCTGGGATGGGACAAGCCCTCTCTCACCATTCTACTTTGTATAAGCAAACTTTCCCTGGAGTAAGATGGGAAGTCCTCTGGCAAGCTGGGCACTCACCACTAGGCCAGGGATTCACAGCATTTTTTTTGCCAGGTCAGGGCTGATCAGACTTTGCAAACAGGAAAGCTGACTCAATGCTCAGCCTAACTGTCCTCTTCCGTTTCATTTATGCTACTCCTAGCTATACTGAACTGTTCCGTAAGCCAGCGGGTTTATACAGTCTGGTTCCTTCCTCAAAATTGAAGCTACCATGGGATATTTTTAATGTGCTGTAAGCAATTCCCACTGTTGAAAATTTCCCTTTTCTTCCTAATTATGTACTGTCATCTTGGCATCTTTTTCCTCTGACATGTCCAGTTCAGGGTTCCCCACTCCTCTTATAAATCCTGATGCTACTGACCACGGTTTCTCTGCTGTGTTTCCTATTTAAGCAAGTTTTTGCTGGTTTGAAATACCTTTGATAATGCTTTCTTAAGGGTGAGGTTAATTAAGAGAGTGCCAGTAATGCCTGTTGCACCCAACTATCATTTCAGTGCAGATGCCAGCAGCTGTTAGAACTTTGCTTAGGTTGAAAACCAAATTGTTGTACACCTGGAATTAAACATTCTGCTTTTACTAACCATTGTAGGAGAGAACTAGGCTTTCTAAAGAGGTCCAAGAGCTCAGCAGGTTACCCAGAGTCCGACACGCGTCCCCGGTCAAAGGGACGGAGAACAACTCCAACGTGGCTATGCTTCGGAAGGGAGCTGCAGCTTTCAGAGAGAGAATCCCAGAAGAGCCTCCTCTTCCCATGCAGCCCAAACTCTCACAGCTAAGACGGTCTGCTGGGGTACTGGCCAAACTATCAAGGTTTTCTCTTTCGTGGACACTTTCATTGAGTGTCTCTCTTGTTGCCTCTCTAGCAACAGTGAAGACAAAGTCATAAAGGTCTTCTGGATCTGCACACAATCCCCAGTTTCTCCTGGGGCTGCGGCGCTTCCTCCTTGACGAACACTTAAGCTTTCTGTGAGGCGTTCGGAGAGCAGGGCCAGCTGAAGACCTTTCTGATGGGGAAGACAACTCCCTTTCAGCGTTGTACTGCTCAGGGGGCATTGTGCAGCTCACATCATGACACACTCGGTTCCGCAAAGGATGGTTCCTCAAGCCATAGAGCATTGGGGTTTTAGAGCCACTGCTTCCTTTGAGCTCTGTTGAAGCTTTTGGGTCTGGATTGGCTTCTGCAGGGACTTTGGTGGAAGCATTTTGGATCTTTATGCTACTGGACTCATGACTGCCATGTTGGCCCGTCTCTAGTTTCTCAGTATGTCCATGGCACAGATGCTTTGAGTCTACCAGGTCATCTTGAGTTGACTTTTGGGTCTGGGAATCAGGTTCCTTTCTGCAAAGACTGCATGGGCCACAATGGTGCATAAGTGTCTTACTTGGATGCCAAAACCCAGCGCTCATGCTCAGAATGAGGACCAAGAGCACCGTGTCAGGAACAGGCCAGGAATACACGGACACCTGGTTGACAGCCCCATGGTGGATCAGGCGATGAAGCAGCAAGCTCAACGAGTGTCTAATGGACAAGTCGGAGGACAGCAGGTGACGAAACTTCAAGGTTTTCAAGCAGCCTGCCAGGTTTTCTACAACTCTCCGGTTGCGCTCAGCAGTGAGCTCTGTCACCCCCTGCAGCATGTTGAGGATGGTGAGCTGGGTCACGTGTTGCGAGCTGTGGAGCAAGGGTGAAAAACGATCGTCGTTCAGGCGCTGATCTGAAGAAACATCCAAGACTCCATGAAGGATGTTCGAGAAAAAAGTTTCAAGGAACTTCTTCCTCCAACAGGTTATGTGCTGCAATAAAATTATCACAGTTAATTGATTTCCATTTAAAGAAGGGCACAGAATGTATAAAGTGTAGTAGCCCTTCTTGATGGAAGAGGCTGTATAAATACAACAAAGTGATTTCCAGCAAGTCTTGAAGACCCTGATAATACTTTGGTTCTTCACCTCGCAAACACTTACGCACATCAAAAGCCCCAGGAACAACTTTATGCATAATCTTATTAAGCAAGCTGAGGTATCTACGAAATATGAAATAGGACACAAAGCTGACACCCCAAACACAGCTTGTCAACAGATTTCCAACTCACCTCCGACTTGGGTGGCCTGGTTTTCATTACATCGTTCCAGAGTTTGCGCCATATTGGCTGAGTTGAGAGTCCTGAAAAACAAACCAAATCCTCCATTTCTAAAGCTCCCTTTTCAAGTTTCACAACCATGTTGTACCAAATGAGATTCAAAAGCAGAGCCACGAAACGTTACCTCTTTAGGGGGATAAAATTCAGAGCACTAAATTCTGCCTTTTTTAAAGGGGCATGAAAAAGGTACATGTCTTTTAAAGAATGTTTACCATCCAACATTTTCGGATGTTACCTGTATATATCATATACTAGCAAAACTAAAACCAACAGCGATCTAATGCATTTCTCAGCAGTAATGCCACCTTTATCCACTTAGCTTTTTAAAAAATTTATTCTGGACAACATTTATTTTCACTGTTAGATTCTCATATACTAGAAAAAGACAAAATTTGGGTGGCAGAAACAGCTGCGTTAGTATGAAGTCAGACAGAAGATAAGGTGGGGTGGGGTGGCACGTTGAAGGCTCGTGCTTGTCGGAACTGGTTAGTTTTTTCAGGCAACAACTTACTTTGTCAGAGGCTAGGAATGGACTGCCTGGATTGCAACTACTGCAAGTAATATTGACGGTTACCAAAACTTCTACTTGCACGTAGGCGAGTAAGAATTTTTTTGTATGTCAACATTTCATTTCTGCAAGACCAAGATATAGGGGGAAATTTCCTTGGGGCACAAGTCCTGTTCCTCTGTGAGTACAACCATCTCACTCCCTCCGCGTTACACTCTGCTGTCCTTTCACAGTACCTGATGAAGTGAATGTGGGTTCAGAAAAAACTTATGTTCTCTCTCCTGCTCTTATCGTTAGCACATAAAGCTGCACATCTGTTCTGTCTCACCACATCACCTGCCATTTGCAGACTTCTGAGCTCTTATTTAAAAAGAGAAAAGATGCACAAAATACTTTGAGCGCTTTAGTCCCAGTTACTTGCGACATACATTGCATAATTAACTGGTGAATCGTGCAATAAATATAGACTGTCCACAAGTTCAAAATAATTATTACATGATAAAAATGACTATCTAGCTGTTAAAAAAAGAGCCAACAGCTATAAAGTCAGTGCTTTAAAATGTGTAAACAGCTCTATAGCTCCAGAGCAGGGATGCTTAACCCGTTCCTCGATATTAATTTTCTATGTATTTTAGGGGCCCTGTGGACCGGATAGAATGGCCTGGCGGGCCACATCCAGCCAGCCCCAGCCATGGACGGACCACGCACCGGCCCACCAGGCAAGGAGTCCGAGCGCCATTGCTCGAGAGCAAACTAGATTCTCTAGCTTTAATCTGAACATGTAATCCTACATGTCCTACCACAGATTCAGATAATTGAAGCTGGAGATAATTGAAGCTACAGGCTCGTTAGACGTTTTCAAGCACCCGTATCGACACTGGTCTGCTCTTTTCCTAGCTGGATGGTCAAATAGATTGTGCGACCGACCAGTCAATTGTGCGAGCGCGACTTGGTCTACGGCCGATTGTGTGATCCATTCACACGTGGTGCGCTCAGGACTTCGCATACGTAGGGTTGCCGACTCTGTTCAAATCGATCCCAGGAGGTTTCCACAACGTTTTAGATTACGGCGTGTAGACGTGACATCAGGAAGGCCAATGCCCATGACTCGGACATTTTAAAAACCCGCTGCATGAATCAGATTTGACATTTCATTTTTTTTTAACAAATGCCCTCTCATTTATCTCCTCGGTGACTCTCCCGGAGGTTTATACCCAATTCCTGGAGTGTCAGCAACCCTACATGCAGCCGGTCTACATTTATTGCGCGGTGTAACACGTAACGGGGTGAGGGGGGAGCTGAGAGACAAACATCTTCCTGTTAGGTGGGTCTCTGTTTGAGAAGCCACCCCGCAGGGGGCAAACGCCGGCACCCGTTACATATATCGCGTCACTCCGTGCCAAAACAGTGTGATTCCTGTGCGAAGCCATGGGCGTGCCTGACATGTTCGGGCAGCTATGAAAATGGGTCGAAAATAGCTGAGCAGCCACGAAAATGAGTTGAAAATGGTTGAGCGGCCACAAAAATGGCCAAGCAGCCACGAAGGCCCTGGGTTGCACTGACCTTTGCTCGCGGCAGCATCCTCGGCGCGCTCCAGGTAGTAGACGTTGAGCAGGGGCAGGAGGCCGTGCAGGATATGGGCGGGCAGCGCTGGGGGGAGAAACAGGCGTGAGGCGCAGTCGGGACAAAGGGGGTTAGTCTGGAGCAGGGTGGTCCCGTGCAAACGCATCCCCCGGGCACCCCCTTACCCCAGACCTCGCTCTCCAGGGCCCCCATGCTGGAGCTCACCGCCGCCCCGCTCAGCGCGAAGAGGCTGGGGGGGCCGCTCCCCGGCTCCTCCATGGCGGCGCCTCGGACACGGGACTAGGCCGGGTGGAGAGCACTCAGCAGCACCGCCATCTTGGACAGAGGTAAGAAGTGGCGTGAGACAGCCGCCATCTTGGGAGGGTTGGGGGCAGCCTATGAGCGGCCGCCTTGGGGAGCCGCCATCTTGGGGGGCGGGGCAGCCTATGAGTGGGCGGCTTGGGGAGCCGCCATCTTGGGAGGGTTGGAGGCGGCCTATGCGCGGGCGTCTCGGGCAGCCGCCATCTTGGGAGGGTCAAGGTGCTACCTAGAGCAACCGCCATCTTGGGCAGGTCAGAGGCGCAGTTTATGAGCTACCAGGTCAAGGCGCAGTTTAAGGGAGTCATTAGTTTTGGGCAGGTCTCGGGCTTGGTTTAAGAGAGGGATCCTTTTGGGGAGATCAGAAGAGCGGCCTATAGGAGAAGCCGTTTGAGACAAGTCAGGAATACAGTGTCTACAAAGGGGCGTGGCCAATGCGAACCGCCATCTTGAGAAGGTCAGAGAACACCTATAGGGACGCCATCTTGAGAAGGTTCGAGGTACGGCTTATTGTTGGCCGCCATCTTGGGCAGGTCAAGAGTACGGTCTATGCGAGCCGCCATCTTGGTCGCGTCATAAAAAGGCGCCATCTTGACCCCGCCTTAGCGTGGCTGGGTTTCCGCTTCCAGGAGGAGGGAAAGGAGGCTCCTTCCGGCGGCTGACCCTGCAGAGTCCTTCTGTGGCGGATATGGGGCTGCGCGACGAGGAGGAGCTCGAGGGCAGCCGCGGGGACCCCCAGGTGATACCCTCTCTTCTGCTCCACCTCTTCCCCAGAGCTCTGCGGGGTGACCCCTACCGGCCCCCGTACCGGCGCCCCCCCTTGCTGCGCGCTTCTAGCGTCCCCAGCAGGCGTCGCGGCCGCGCAAATCGCTCCTACTTAACGCGATACATGTCACGTGTGTCAGGGATGTCAGATATGGCGGAGCCCCTTCAACCCTAGCCCTGGGGGCATGCGAAACCCCGTTGGGGGATGTTATCCCCCGGTGGATTTAATTGTTTTGTTGGAATTTTAAGGGTGAGATTATAAAAGCGGTGCTGCCCGGAGCGTGGGGGCAGCTGGTCCACCCCAAAGCGGGTCTGCAAAATTTAGGTAGATCCTCTTGTGCAGTCCCTTCCAACCCCAGACATCATCTACAGCATCAAAACATGCACGAGGAATTTTTGTAAGTCGTATTGTTTCCCGCCGTTCCCCAGGAGGAGGAAGAAGAGGAAGAGGAGGAAGAGGAAGAGCTAGTGGTAAGAAATAAATGTTTGAAAATACCCATCCTTGGGCGGAGGGGATGTGAGAAGAGGAGTAGGCCCTGTTCCCATCATGCTTTGCTTTGTCATAGTCTACTCTGAAGGTTTTAATTCCGACTTAATTGTCTATATGTGATAGGCGCTGCATATTTAAATCGAAATGCAAAAATCTAGAACTAGTGCTTTGAAGAGAGGATGCCTCTTATTTAAGATATTGTTTAAAAAAAAAAAGGTCTCTTTCTGCAAGCTTTTGGGCTCATGTGACCTTCATCTGGCTCAGGGAAAATTTTTAAAGATGGTAAAAAGTCCCCGTAGCTAGGCAATAAACTCTTATTTTTTGCCCAGAGGGAGTTGAGGGTGGAAGTCTGGTCCCTTTGGGTCCATGCTGGTGTCTCTAAATTTAAAGTGCATTTAAATTTGTGTTTGCACCTTATTTCACATGATGACTCTGAGTTAAACTGGTTTTTATCTTAATTGGCAACTTGCTCTAAGCCAATACTGAGCTCAAAGCAAGGTAGGGGAAAAGAATATTGAGGGAGCTAATATTTGCTGCGCAGTAAGAGAGATTTTTGGCCATGAGTTGAATGTAACCTGGTCTTCAGTAACTCGGTAGGCGCGTGGTTGCAGGTGCAACTTTATGGCCCTGTTTGATGGGTGTGTAATCATGTGGGTAACCGTGGAAGTCTGCTGGGGAATGAGATCAAGATTCCCACGGCTGGTTCTTCATCTGACTGTAAAATACTCTGCAAGAGATGAGAGAGTCTGTCTTTAATTTTGCCTTCAGGACCCCCTGACTAAGATACGGGAGCAGTGTGAGAAGCTGGAGAAATGTGTGAAGACCAAGGAGCTCCTGGATCAGTGCAACTCTCGGGTGTCCTCGAGGACTCGCACAGAAGAGGAGTGCGCGGAGGAGCTCTTCGACTTCCTGCATGCCAGGGACCACTGCGTAAGGCCCATTGTACTCGGTGGTGTTGCTGCCCCTTAGAGCTACCTGCTGAAGAGATTGGTTCATTGACAGATCGGGGTCTGTAGGAAAATTAGGCTGTTTAAAAATATAAAATGAAGTCCTGCTAGTCTGTTCACCTGCAGTGACTTGTTTGAAACACTGTTGACTCGTTACCTTCACTTTTCCTCTCTCACATTATTTTAATATTTAATATTAATATCATATAATAAATTGATATTGAGATGGAGATAGATATAGATATATTGGTTGAGGTATTGGGGGTGTGTGTGTATACACACCAATATATATAAATAAATGTATATATTTTTTAGAGCTGGAAGGGACCTCGCAAGATCATCAGGTCCAGCCCCCTGCCCAAATTATGTTGGGAAACTTATTTATGGCCAAGAGACAGTTGTGGCTACGGTTCTGTTTCCTCCGCTTCAATCCAGGGGTTCAAAACCACAAAAGCAAGACTGTGGTGTCTGTCTAGTTCTTGAAAGTCTTTCTGTGAGGTGAGCATCTCTTTTTGTTACTGAATACTTCCTTCGCCATTGTCTCTTCCAGGTGGCTCACAAACTGTTCGACAGTCTGAAGTAAATGTTGGGAACGTGTCTTGCCATCCGACTCAGTGGCTCAGCTGAAAACTTGTGCAGGTTTTGTTTGGATTCAAGGTGCTGCTTGCTGCCCGTCACTGTGAACATGTGATGTGCGTGTGCAACGGCACTCCGACACTTGTGCACTGATCTTGATGCTTCATCTGTATCTGACTGTACAGCTCTAGCGACACCATCTTGTTCTGTGGTTTGCCATAATAAACATTCAAGGTTCCTGTAGAATCATCTTTAATTTCATGATTTATAGTAGAGGAACTTTTATCTTTAGACTGATTCTTAACTGATTATTTTTGAGGGAAGCTGGGAGTTCTCTGCACCCCGGAGACATCTCCCCTGGTGGGAATTTGCTTGTACACACTCTTACTTAACAGCTGGCGAGAATCATATGGTTATACATCCTTTCTGTCCATTGCAGCTGTGAAGATCTTTCTAGGTCCCATCACATAGCTTCCATTCTTTGAGTAACTTGGGGCCAGATGGGGCTCCGTTTTTAACCTGCTGCTGTCTGTTAATTGGAAGGAAGACTCAAGGTAGCTTTTAAAAGCCCCTTCTCCTTTACCAAAGATGCTTGTGCTGCCTCCATAACCTACTTGAGTACAGGACTAGAACACTGTTTTTTTTTGTTTGTTTGTTTGTTTTTACATAATGAGCCTTGTGCTTGTAAGCAAAGGGTAGCACAGCCCCACACTAAAGCTGTAGCCAAGAGTGGCCTGTTCAATTGCATATTTAATGAGAAATGATTCTAGCCCAGCTTCACTGCAACTTCCCCAGCAAAACCTTGTTGGCTTTGCAAAAATGTACAGGCAATTGCGCTGTAGGGAAAGATCTCGGCAGCGATGTATTGGATCAGCAGGTAATGCAAGGGGCTGTGACCGTTTTGTATGCTGCAGTGCGAATCTGGCTGTAATCTTGTGCAGAATGGTGCGGGTTTTTTTGTTTTTTATTAATGGGGGGGGTGTTTTCTTTTTTAAAGACAAGTTGCTGCAATCCAAGACCTCTCTGCGTTGTTCCCACTTACTCACCAGTTATGATCTGACCATTGTCCTGGTGCCCTACTTGCAAACAGGGTTAAGATACTGCCTTATTTTGGATGCACACTTTGACACCCGTGGAGGGAGGGGGGTGTTTTATCTGTAGGCTGATGTTCAACACTTCTGGAAAAGCTGGGATGTCTCTAGGGTGTCAGGCCGGAGTACCCAGAAGCACTGACTGTTTCTAGACACGTGGGAATCTGTGCCCAGGAAGCTGTTTGGCTTGATTTCCCCAGTACCTGTGGTTTCAGTTTTAAACTGCAGGAATGAGGGTATGTTTTGTTTGTTTGTAACATCCAGTTAATCTTCACATTGACGTTGTCAGGAATCCACTGGGACTTAACTCATTCAGGATTTTTGGCTGCTCTGAAACGTCAAAGCAGCCGCAGTTGGACATATCTCATTCTAAGGCTTAACTGCTACAGTCTGTCTATCACAATCATATTCCCTAATTCTATCCATAATAGCAGAGAAGATGTATTAAATAAGTGAAACCTCACTTATAACCTTGGCAGACAAGGTTATTTAGGTAAACCTGATATCTTTTATTAGACCAACTCAAATAGTTGGGGAAAAAATTCTTTGCAAGCTTTTCGGCACAAACACCCTTCCTCGGGGTGTTTAAATTCCTGTTTGCTTTCTCTTTGCCATTCAGTATTTTGTAAACCCTTCTCCTGTCCCTGCCTCAAGCATCTCTCTTCTAAATTGACCAGTCCTTTGTCAGGGTGTCTGCGCCCTAAGGCTTGCAAAGAAGAATTTTTTTCCCAACTATCTGATTTGGTCTAATAAAAGATATCAGATTTACTTAAAGAACCTGGTCTGTCAATGTCCTTAGACCAACAGGGCGGCAACCTATGGCCCTGACTTATAACGCTGGCATTCATATAGCATTTGAGGGGGGCAGCCTCATTTGAGAAGGAAGGTGTGAATACTAAAGGGCAAACACTATTTGACAGTGTGAGAATGAAATGTATTAAGACTGGTCTTTGTGCCTCCAAAAGGAAATAGAGAAGGGCAGCAAGGATGATGAGTGGTATGGAGGGGCTTCTCCAGGAGGAGAGGCTAGAGAGGCCAGGCATGGTCAAGTTAGAAAAGAGATGCTTGAGGGGTGAGGTGGACATAAGAAGGGTTTACAAAATACTGAATGGCGAAGAGAAAGCAAATAGGGATTTATTATTTGCTGTCTCTCACCAGACGGAACCGAGGCTTCACAAAATGAAACTAGTACAAAGTCTAAAACGAAACCTCCCCGCTCTTTTTCCACCTGGCGTGTCACTCAAGGGTTGGGGGGCCAGGGGAACTTGTTTGCACCAGATATGGTGCAAGCTGGATTCAGAAATGGATTGGATGTGTGCTCGGAGGAAAGGGGCATCACTTGTTATTGAGCGCAGGAGTGAGGGGCATTAGAAATTCCTCTGTCTTCAATGCTGGAGGCCGCAAGTGGGAGAGGAACAAGGGAAGAAAACTCACGCCCTACTCACTTTTGCTTTCAGCATCCGCTCTCTGCCCCTGTGTGACGGTTGTTTTCCAGGGTCTCAGTCCTGCGAGTTTAGCCACCAAACCCACCTGAGGTGCAACCCTGATGCTTCGGACATTTTAAAAACCTGCTGGACTCCTGCATGAATCTGATTCAATACTGAATGTTTATTTTAATGAATGCCCGATCATTTATCTCCCGAGTGACACTCAGCAGTCCCCTGGAGACTTATCTCTAATTCCTGCAGACTCCTGGAGGGTGGGCGACACTAGTGGCATCGGGGAAATACCTCAGCTTTGGCTTTGAAATACTTAAGACATGAAAGGTGGCATTGGGGCACAACCGAGCTCTGGTTTTTATCTTCCTAATACTCGAAAGCCGGCATCGGGGCACAGCTGAACTCTGGGCTTCCCAGCTGTCTTGGAGTAAATTGCAAAACCCAGCCCAATGCCTGCCAAATGCCAGCTGATGCCTCCAAGAGACATGTAGGTAGATATTTATTATAATATGTATTATATTTAAATATATAATATAAACCTATATTTATTATATTGGGTTATATTATAATAAAATATTGATACAATATAATACATGTATATATATTAAATATAATAAAATATATAAATATATTATTTTAGACTGGACAGATGGGATATCTATATAATCTATAATATATTTATTATGATATATCTAGAAGTATATATCTAAAAATATCATATGTGTTTATATTGGATAGAGGTGTATCGTTATATAATCTATATCATTTATGCTATATCTAGAAATCTAGAAATACATTTATATATCTATAAATCTATAATTATGTAAGTATATTGGGGAAGATGTGATATCTTTATATAGTCTATGTTTACTATGATATATCTATACATCTAGAAGTATATATCTAGAAATCTATCATATATTTATTTCTATTGGGTAAGGTGTAATATCTTTATATAATCTATCATATATTTATTATGCTATATCTAGAAATATATCTATCTACAAATCTATCAAATATTGATTTATACTGGGTAGATGTGTATCTTTTATATAATTGATCATATATTTATCATGATATATCTAGACATCTAGAAATATATCGATAGAGCTACAAATCTATAATACTTGTATGTATATCGGGGAAGATGGGATAATACATGTATTATGATTTATCTAGACACCTAGAAGTATATATTTAGAAATCTATCCTCTCTGTATTTATATTGGGTAGAGGGTGTATCTTTATATAATCTATCATATATTTAGGACGATCCAGGAGTACATAAAGAAGTATATATACTACATGCACTTATCCTGGGGAGAAGCCATAACCTATATCCTAAAAAATAGATAAGATAATCTTACAAATCTCTCCGTATCTAGACACCGCTCCTGTGTTTAGTCTGTTGGGGACGGGGGTTTCTTTCACCGTCCCGGGGCCCTAGTTCTCTGCGAGGTTTTGGGGCACAGCCGCGGGTTTTGCGCAGGACTGTTCCCCGCCGAGGGGCGAACACGTAGGCACGCGGGGGGAGGGGGGCATTTCCGCTTCCGGAACCAGCGTCGGTGGCTGCGGGGTCCGGCCGGGCCCAGTGGGCGGCGCACAGCAATGGCGGCGCTCGGCGCGGGGTTGGCGCGGGGGCTGGTGTGGCGGGCCCAGC